CCCTCCATCCATCCATCCCTCCATCCATCCCTCCATCCATCCATCCCTCCATCCATCCATCCCTCCATCCCTCCATCCCTCCCTCCATCCATCCATCCATCCCCATATCCATCCATCCCTCCATCTGTCCATCCCTCCATCCGTCCATCCCTCCATCCATGCCCATATCCATCCCTCCCTCCATCCCTCCATGCCTCCATCCATGCCCATATCCATCCATCTCTCCATCCCTCCATCCCTCCATCTCTCCCTCCATCCCTCCATCTCCATATCCCTCCATCCCACCCCCCCATGGTTCCCTCTCCCCCCAGCCGTGCCGAGGTCTCCCATCCCTGCCGTGTCCCACCTTCCTCGCAGTTGGCTCCGGCGTGGCCGGGGCAGCACCTCCACTCCAGGGCCGTCAGTGTCCTGTAGGTCACCCTGTAGAGGGGCCGCACCACGGCACGGTAGCTGCGGCACAGAGGGGCACCTCAGACCCATCCCGGGGGGATTCCAAGAGTCCCCGCACCCACGGGACCCCGGTGGCCCCTCACCTGCCCCCGCTGCAGGCCAGGGGCCAGCGGCAGCCCTGGAAGACCCTCTGGAGGAAGGTGCCGTTGTGGACGTGGCAGGACACCGTCCGTGTCACCGTGTAGGAGCACCAGTTGCTGCAAAGGGAAACCACCCGTGTCCCCACGGGGACACCGCGGGGGTGGCAGTGCCACCGCGGGGGTCCTGCCACCCAAACTGCCCCGGGAGGTGCCCGTGGGGAGCTTTGCCCTGGCACGTGTGGGGGTGAGCTGGGGCCCCACATTCCTGCTGCATTCCCAACCCCGCGCTGGCGCCGGCCGACCTGGAGCGGGGCCCGGGCCCCCCCCCGCGCCCCCAGCCCACCCCACACAAAGGCTCCTTTCTTCTGCCCCACATGCCAGGCTCTGCCCACCCCCGCCGCGGGCACCCCCAGCCTCAGTTATCCCCTACAGAGAGGGGGGGGACACACACCGGTGCCACCACGCCGAGTGACCCCGTCCCCGCGCGGCGGGAAGGACTCGCCGTTCCCTCGGCAGCTCCGAACTCAAAAGGCTGCACAATTTGGGTCAGAAAAAAAGGAGCTTTTCGGGACCGGCCGCGAGGAGGGAGGCAGGCGGTGGCAGCGGGGACGAGCGGGCGCCGCGGGGGGACAATTGTCTGGGAGGTGCCGGGGGCGGGGGGACAGCGCGGTGGCACTGGGCTTTCCGGCCGGGCAGCGTCCCAGGCGGGCACCGTGCCAGGGCTATGGAAGCGCAGATCCCACCCGGAGCTGTCGCCACGCTCCCGCTGCCGCCCCCCTTCCCCCCGTGCCAGGGGGGGTCCGGGGTGGCATCGTCCCCCTTTGGAGGGCACCCAGCTCCCTCCCGGGCGGCGCAGGGATATGCTCTGCCAGCTCCAGCTGCGGCGATGCCCGCCGGGCTGGGGATGGGTCCCGGCTCGCTTCCCAGCGGGAATGCCCTCCCGGGAGCGGGGCAGGAGCTGGCAGGCGCCGGCATGTGAGCGCCGGCGTGGCCTGGCGTGACCCCGGCCCACCCACCGGGCCGCCACTCATGCACTGAGCGTGTCCGGGCCCTGCCGCGGGGCATGTGCCCACCCGGGGCAAAGCCCACGCCAGGCTTGGCTCCCAATCCCGCTCCCATTCCCCAAACCAGCTGCTTGGCTTTGTGCCCCCGGCTTGGGATGGCAGCGATGCGCCGGGGAGGGATGGGATGGGCTGGGCTGGGATGGGCTGGGGGTTTGTGAGCCCTCGGTGCCAACAGCAGGGTGGGGTGTGGTGGGGTGGGGGGTCCCGGGGGGACAGGGTAGGGTGATGCCAAGGCGCCGGGGGCTTCCTGGGCTTGGCCGGGAGGGGAAGGGGAAATGAGGCGGCTGCTGCCCGTCGCCCTCCCCGAGCCGAGCGGAACCGGGAGGTCCCGGCAATCCGGTGCCGGAGACACGGCCAGAGCCAAAGGCTTCCTGTAAACAACACCCCGCCGCCCCCCCCCGGCTTCTGGGACGGGGACCACAGCCCCCCACAGCACCCCACAGCCGTCAAAGCCCCCCACAGCCCCCACAGCTCCCCACAATCCCCACAAACCCCCATAGCTCCTCACAGTCCCCCCCCCAGCCCTCACAGCCCCCACAGCATCCCACAACCCACGGCCCCCCACAGCCCCCCACAATCCCCACAAACCCCCACAGCCCACACAGCACCCCACAGCCCCCACAGCCCCCCACATCCTCCCACAGCCCCCCACAGATCCCTGCCCCCCCCCCC